CCTTTTCCCCAGCCATTCCTGGAACTCCCTTCACGGGATTCCACCATAGCGCTCAGCACTGGTAGATGCTGAGTGTTTACTTGGCTGGTTCCACCCCGGTCTCAACTCCCCTCTTCTCAAAGTGCCGCTTTCCCAAAGTTCCTCTGCTGCCACCCAGCCTCTCTGCCCTCCCTCCAAACTAACACACCAATTTCAGTTACCTGCTCCCCTCCTTGCCTTAAGGACTGAAACCACCAGGACTGAGGTCAACTGCCCACGTGAGAGTCTGGTCTCTCCCATCTTTACTGTCCCCTCTGCAGTCCCAGGCCACCCACTCTCTTCCCCAGCTCCAATTTTATTTCTTAGATTGTAGGTCTTCGTCCCTATGGACTGTCATGGACCTGGGAAGGGTTTGAGGACAAATCTGAACTTTGTGTTCCTGCCCATTGCAGGGGGAGCTGGGGCCTCTGAGGTCCCATATGGTGACTGTCGTCAAATGAGTTGCGTGCTTATTAGACTTCTGGAGTAGCTTTTGCAGCCAGCAGACGTGTTGGTGTTGTGTGTGATGTGATGAATAAGGGACCCCAGTTTGGCCTGACTGTGGTTGGAGTTTGGGGCAGAAAAAGCAGTCCCATTTAAGAGGAGAGAAGGTGAAAAGAGGGCGCTATGTGAAGGTTTTTTTTTTAAAAAAAAAAAGAAAAAATCTAACAAGAAAATAAAAATGGTTTAAAACTCACAAACGAAGCCTGCATTTGGGGCGGTTACTGTTGGGGTGAGCCTTCTCCAGTTTGCATAGGGTTGAGGGCGGTCGGGGGGCCGCATCGGGCAGATGCAGCTTCGCTTCCTTGTTTCCCCTGGCTGGAGCAGAAGGAACAGATGAGGTAGACTGTGAAAGTGCCCTGAAAACTGATAAAATAGTATAAACGCCAAATAACGAGTTAGCGTAGTGGCTTAAAGAGAAGAGAACGGGGACCAGCCTGCTAGCACGCGGGCTTGTGCCCTCTTTTTAAGCCACTGGCGACTCTTTCCATCCTGAAACAGGACCGAGCTGCACAGACTTGGCACTGGGTGGTTGTGCCAAAGACTGGGGAATTGGGGATTCGTGTTCTGTGGCTGGTGGCACCAAGGGGCAGTGCTGTGGATCGGGTTCATTTTAGAGATGAAGAAGTAATCCTCTTTCCTTACTGTGTCTTGAGACCACCAGGTCTAGGGTCTTTTGTGTCTCCCTTGAGTTCTGCACCCCAGACCAGGCTTCTTTCTGTCCTTCCCTCCAGCCTGTATGAGCGCCAAGGACTAGCGTGGAGCCTCTCCACCAGTCTCCAGCAGGGGGCAGCCTTTTAATGGCAGTAACTCAGAGGCTAGGGGAGTCAGCCTGTATTGTGCCTTCAAGTTGATTTCAACTGAAGAACTGACCTGTGGGGTTTCTTACGCTGTAATCTTTATAGAAGCAGATGGCCCAGTCGGTCTCCTACCAAGTGCTGGGTGGGATTGAACTGCGGACCTTTTGGTTAACAGCTAACTGTTGCACCACCTGAGGGCATATTAAGGCCCAAGACAGAGAAGAAAGGGGGAGCTAGGAAGTGAGTGTATGAGGCAGACGGATGTTGAGAGCAAGAGCAGAGGCAGAAGGTGGAAAGGCCGGCGAGAAGACCTTTAGGGAAGGTAGCCAGGAATGTGTAGGCAGAAAAGGATCTGGGCCCTGGTTCTCTGTCCTCTGCGTCTCTCCAGCGCTGTCCTTCGTAGGAGAGAGGTCCAGATGCTTGCTCTGAGAATTTGCAATAGAGAAACTTAAGATAGGTTTTTAGTCTTAATCTATTTTCTCAAGGATTTCCCTCCCAGCAGGATCTTGGGTTTCCCTCATGGGGCAGTGTCCTTAGAGAATGACTTCCCTGTTGTTCAGCGGAGAGAATGAACTAGAGTCACTTTGGTTTGTCTTGCACTGTTCCCCATGAACACAGATGGGGCGTCAGGTATTTGTGCACGTAGCGGTTTGGAGAGTTTCTTAATGGTAGCAAAGTTGACAATTTGGGGCCACGTAATTCTTTGTGCTGGGGGGATGTCCCCTACCTTGTTTACCACCGTCCTTGACCTCTACCCATCAGAAGCCAGTAGCAACCTCCCTCCCTTCTTTGCGGCAATGAAAAATGTCTGCCAGGTGTCCCCTGGGGAGCAAAACTGCACCCCACTTTTTGGGGGTGTTATCCATGCTGCTTTGAAGTGCTTCCAGGCAACCATCTGGCTTCTAGGACCAACCTCTTCTCTGGCTGGTCCCAGACACTTGAACTTTGTCTCCTAGCTTCTCCCCAGAAAGGTGGGGTGGCTTTGGCCCTTTCCTAGCGCCATCGTTTTCTCCCCGACTGCCTTCCCTGGCCTCTGTAGATTCGATTCCTTGCTTCCCACACTTGTTGAGGCTGTGTTCCCTGCCTGCTCTCCACACCAGGACCGAAAGGGAGGACAGAAGCAGAAAGCACCTGGGAGAGCTGCCACTGCCACGCCCTGGAAGTGGGAGAGGGTGAGTGTCCCCATTTCTCTGCACCCCTCTCTTACCCCCCGTCCCTCCATGCCTGCAGGACTAGGGTCTGTCCCTCTGGCAGATAGGCTCATCAGAGCGCTGGATAGTGAGCGGTCACAAAACAGCCTCTCCCCAGGTCTGTCAGAAGGAATGTGGGGGGTTTTTCTTGGGGTGGGGAAGGCACTAGGCATGCAGTAGGTTACCCCAGATATCTTCGGGATTGTAGTGGGGAGAAAGCATTACCCTTCCTCTGTTGTTCGGGGGGACCTACTTTAACTCAGGGAGGAGGAACTTTTTGACGAACTTGTCTCCTCCAGACCTCGCGGGGTGTGGCGTGTGCCATCACCAGCACTGTCCAGTGGAGACGGGAGATGCCCTTGCCAAGGGGAGGTCTGCCTGGCTCGGGCTTGTCTCCGAAAGTGGCTTTTCACCCCCCGGTGCTGTAGTTGCAGGCCTGGATCCCGTCTTCCTTGTGTGCTTTGACTCTGTCTTGTGTGCGGCCATGGGCCAGAGCGTCTCCTGGCCTTTCACACCTCCGGTGATACCTCCTTCTTCCTCCTCCCTTCCCAGAATTAGGGAGTCTCGGAGTTGATGGGTGCTGTGGAGGAGACCTGCTCCAGCTGCCCGCCCAGCCCGTGACAGAGCTCTTACCCAGTCCCCCGGGAGACCGCCTTCGCCTCCGCCCGGCCGCTGCCGGGGATGAGCCTCTTCCCGCGAGTCTCCTCCGGTCCTTAGAGGGACAGATCGCCGCCACTGCCTCTTCCGATAGCAAATAAAGTAACTGGTTTTATGTCTACCGTTTGACCGCAGACCCTTCCCGCAGCTCTTGTCATCACGATGCTGTCCTTTTCTCGGGCTTTTTGGTGCTCGTGGTTGGCTTCTCCTGGTCCTGTGGGAAGGGCCCCGGGTGTTTGTTCTGTTGGCTGTACCCACATCTGGATGCGTTGGCCCAGGCTCTGCTACCTGGAGCCTGCAGTGCGTGTCCCAGCCCTGGTCCTGGACTGTTGTTACAGGTGCCATCGAGTCAGCTCCGAGTCACAGGTTTCCTGTGAATAACAGGACGAGACGCTGCCCAGTCCTGCACCAGCCTCACGACCCTTGCCACACCCGAGCCTACCGTGCAGCCACTGTGTCGGTCCATCTCATTGAGGGCCTTCCCCTTTTTCATTGACTCTCCACTTTCCCATTCATTGGAAAGGGATGTCATACTTGGTCCTGGAATAATGTTGTTGTTACGTGCCGTCGAGTCGGACCCAACTCATAGCGACCCCTCCTTGGGTTTCCAAGGCAGTATCACTACAGCAGTAGATTGCCCCGTTTTCCTTCCGAGGAGTGGCTGGTGGGCTTGAACTGCCAGCCTCCTGGTTAGCAGGCAAGCGCCTTAGGCACTGTGTTACCAGAGCTCCTTGGTCCTGGAATAGCCTCCCCATTTCCCTTTTACTGGGCTTCTCCCCAAGTTAAGTACCTACATTCTAGGCGGCAAGTAGCCAACCCTGAGCTCTTTCATACGGGAGCTAGGTTTGCTCCCAGATTGATTTCTAGTCCTTGTCTCTGTAATGAGTCTTTTCTCTCCCTAGGATGTTTGTGTTGCAGTGTTTTTTTGGTTGGTTTTTAGCTTTGTCCTGAGTGTCTGTATACCTTAGCCGCCTCCCTTAGTGAATGCACTGCCACGCTTCTGTCTCAGCCTTCAGGGAGGATGCTGGTGACCTGGAGACCATCCCTGGCGGCGGTTCTCTGCCACACCTGGGCATCTAGCCTGTCCACCAGCGACCCTCAGTGTTTGCTGAGCGCCCTAATTGCTCATGATGTGGAATGAGGGGTACAGAAATGAAGAGGAGCAGGGCCATGGTCTCTTGTGCTGGGTGATGAGCGGCCTCCAGGCCACCTGTGGGCCTCTCCGGTTATACAGGACAGTAGGCCCAGAGGCACGGAGGCCCATCTGATCCATTCATTTAACCTACCTTCTTCCCTTGCTTCTTGGTAAGGATCCTTCCCCGATGTGAAGGTCCCTCCCCAGTCACTCCCGAGGTCAGACCAATATCCAGTAGCTTGGGAACCCTAGCTTGCTCAGCGTAGGCCCTGCCTGAAGAGGGCCCAGCCCTGCCCTACCTGCTTCCCAGGTTGCCAGGTGAGTCTGGCACAAGGGATGGGAGAGATTGGTGCCTGCCTGGAAGCTCTTGCAGCCGCTGAAAGGGGCTCACGTGTCCCCGTTTTCTCCCCACCCCTAGGTCTTACCCCAGATTGGCTCGTTGTGCGTTAACTCATGGTGTGAGTTGCCACTTGCTGACTCAGGTGAGTTCTTCAGAGCCCAGGTGGCCCACCCCAAGCTTAGAGCCATCTGTGTGTCACTGAGGTGCCGTACCTATTCCTGACCCTTCCGGAGGTTCTCTGGGCTGCTCTTTTCCACGGCCACGTCCCCCATGCCTCCACAGCTATTGGAGAGTGAACCCCGGACCCTTCCTCCTCTGCTCATTCCTTCCGACCTCAAGGAAACACTCCCGGCTCCACGATGGCAGCAGAGACCCTCAACTTTGGGCCAGAGTGGTGAGTCCCGCGTGCTTTGGGCGGCACGGGGAAGCAGGGTAAAGGATAGGACTGTCCTGACTCCCGTCTTTGTCCTTACCTTCCATACCTTCCTAGGCTGAGGGCCCTTTCCAGCGGGGGCAGTGTGGCCTCACCACCCCCATCCCCTGCCATACCCAAATATAAGCTTGCCGACTATCGGTACGGGCGAGAGGAGATGTTGGCCCTGTATGTCAAGGAGAACAAGGTGGGTGTGCGGCCGGCCGGGGGGTGGCAGGTATGTGGCCACGTGGCTTGTTGAGCCTGAGCCCGTGGGGCGGGCCCAGGAGCGTGTTTCTTCAGCACTCTTGCTCGTGACGACAGGTTCCCGATGAACTGCAGGACAAGGAGTTTGCCGCGGTCTTACAGGAGGACCCGCTGCAGCCCCTGGCGTTGGAGCCTCTGACAGAGGAGGAGCAGGTGGGGCCGGGCAGGGAATTGAGGCAGCGGCGGCCTGGGTGGGGCGGCAGGCTGCAGTCGAGGTGCTGGGTTTGGGGAGGAGAGGGGGACGTTGGGAAGATAACGCGGTAGGGGTTGGGGAGTGGTTGGGCGTCTGGGTCCTCATTCCCGTCCCTGGCTCCCTCCTCAGAGAAACTTCTCCCTGTCAGTGAACAGTGTGGCTGTGCTAAGACTGATGGGGAAAGGGGCTGGTCCCCCCCCAGGTGGCACCTCCCGTGGCAGGGGCAGCACCAGAAGCCGAGGTAGAGGCCTGTTCAGTGTCCGGGGGCTGGGCGGAGGTGGTGCCCGTGGTTTGGAGCGTGGGCGGTTACCTGGTGGTGTCCTGTCCTCTGGTTGTCTCTGTGCACCTCATCCTCTCTCTAGGCCGTGGCCGCGGTGACAGCTGTTTTTACCAAAGAAGCATTGAAGAAGGCGATGGGGCCTTTGGACGGAACCCCCGGGAGATCCAGCGTAGCCAGAGCTGGGATGACAGGTGCGGGCTGACGGAGGCGTGGCCGAGAGGCGGAGCAGTCTGCTCGGGTCTGTCCTCAGAGGGGAGCGGTAGACCTACCAGTTAGAGCCCTGTGGCCCCTCTCTGCCCTTTTTCCTGCTGATTCTCTCCGGACCTCTCTGTCCCTGTGACCTTCTGTTCCATGCACCAGGGGGTTCCCTTCCCATAAGCCGGACCTTCCCGTAGTTCCCTCCCTTCCCCCATCTCTCTCAGGCAGAGATCCCCCCGTTTCGGGAGGGGGAGCCGGGCTGCTTTTGCTGACACCTTTCTGTCTCCCACAGAGGCGAGCGGCGATTTGAGAAGTCAGCAAGGAGGGACGGAGGTATGGAGGGAGGTGAGGGAGGTGGGTAGGGCCTTGAGGCCACTGGGAGGAAGAGGCATGGCCAAAGCAGACCATCCCGGTCAGGGATTCGTTCATTGTCAAGGAGGGAGGGCAGGAGGGCCTGGAGCTGGCCGTTGACTCGCCAGCAAGGTTGATGAGAAGAACGTTCTAAGCCAGGCCCCATGGTTTCTTTCCTGCTTAACTGCCTCTCCTCCCTGCGCCCCCAGCACGATCCGGGTTTGAGGAGGGCGGGGCCGGCCCTCGGAAGGAACACGCTCGCTCTGATAGCGAGAACTGGCGTTCACTTCGTGAGGATCAGGAGGAAGAGGAGGAAGGCAGTTGGAGACTGGGAGTGGGCCCCCGACGTGATGGGGATCGCTGGCGTTCAGCCAGCCCTGGTGAGATTGGGACCAGCTGGCCAGAGAGGGGATGGCAGGGGGTGAGCACGGACTGTCCCAGGAGGGTGGGCGCCTGCGGCCAAGAGGAGGGAACCGAGAGGTCTCTGGAGTGGGGTGGAAGTGGTGGGCAGCAGCGGAGCGGCGATTCTGGCTGGACCAGGACACCGATTCTCCTCCTCCTCCCGCTTTTCCTGCCCAGATGGCGGCCCCCGCTCTGCTGGCTGGCGGGAACACGGCGAGCGGCGGCGCAAGTTTGAATTTGACTTGCGAGGGGACCGAGGAGGGTGTGGTGAAGAGGAAGGGCGGGGTGGGGGAGGCAGCTCTCACCTCCGGAGGTGCCGAGGGCCCGACGGCTTTGAGGACGACAAGGACGGGCTCCCGGAGTGGTGCCTGGATGACGAGGACGAAGAAATGGGCACTTTCGATGCCTCTGGGGCCTTCTTGCCTCTCAAGGTACCTGTGAGGAGACAAGGGGAAGAACATTAGGGGTTGGTGTGTTGATTGGGTCCCGTCACTCCCATCCCTTTGTTGGCCATCCCCTCATCTCCCCGTCGTGTTTCTGACTGTGCAGAAGGGCCCCAAGGAGCCCATCCCTGAGGAGCAGGAGCTGGACTTCCAGGGTCTGGAGGAGGAGGAGGACGAGCCTTCAGAAGGGCTGGATGAGGAGGGGACCGAGGCAGGTGAGCCTGCCCAGTAAGGTGTCAAGGAGGCACAGCAGCCTTGAGCTGGGCCAGGTAGGCAGGAGCCCTTCAGGATACAGCTGCTTAGAAGCAAAAGCAGGTGCAGACAGGGCAGAGGACCCCGGAAACAGCAGAGGCTCTGTCTTTAGAGGCAGCGCGTCAGACAAAAGCCACACGTGATGGAAACCATCTTTGGGAATCCTTGAAGTGCCCGTAGAGCATAGCGTGGCGTCCTTGGTGCTGTACAGCCAGCCCTGTGTGGGACGAGCCGCACGCATCACGTGTCCTGAGTTGTACAGGACGAGAGTAAGCGGGCAGCGTTGGGGTCTGTGGTGCTGAATCGCTGAGCGGGCGTTGGATTGACCAGAGTCAGATGGGCAGCTGATGGACTTGGTCCCCAGAGGCCTGAGCCACGGGCACAAACGGAGTTTCTGCCCAATCCTCTCTCAGGCCTTGGCTCTTCGGTTTTGAATTTTGGTAACTGCTTTTCCAGGTGGGAAGGAACTGACCCCGCTGCCTCTTCAGGAGAAGTCATCCAGCTCCCCATCCCCACTGCCCACCTTGGGCCCGCTCTGGGGAACTAACGGGGAAGGAGACGAAGCCGCGGAGAAGGAGCTGCCAGCAGCTGAAGGTAGACGGGGCCGAGCGGCTCCCCCGTGTGACGAGGGTTCACAGAGAAGCGCTCCTCCGCGTGTAGGGAGGACAAAAAAACAAACCAAACTCGCTGTCATCGGGTCGATTCCAACTCATAGCGACCCCCATTGGGTTTCCCAGGCGGTGTATCTTTATGGAAGTGGGTTGCCCCATTTTCCTTCCACGGAGTGGCTGGTGGATTTAGAACCAGCCTTTTGATTAGCAGTCAAATACTTTAGGCACTGTGCCACCAGAGCTCCTTAGGGAGAAGCATAGGGTACCTCTGTTGGCTAGAAGTGGCTAGAGTCTGTTTTCTCGAATGACGGTGGATGGGTGGGTGACTGTCTTGCTCCTGTGCCACCTTCGTTTCTTGACTTCCAGGAGACGATATGAGGGGAATCCCGCTAAGTCATGGGGTGGGCTCACCCCCTGGCCCCCCTGGAGACCTGGAGGATGATGAAGGCTTGAAACATTTGCAGCAGGTGTGGAGGGGACCTCCCCTGCGTGGAGACACGGAGCCAGTCTTCCTTCTGTCCTTGTCCCTGGTTCCAAACTTTTCCCAATCCTGTCCTGCCACGTTCATGACCCAACACCCTGACCCCGACCCCAGCCTGGTGTCACTGTGATTGGTAGCTGAGCCTGACCTCTCTTTCCGGCCTCCCAGGAGGCGGAGAAGCTGGTTGCCTCCCTGCAGGACAGCTCCCTGGAGGAGGAGCGCTTCACAGCTGCCATGCAGACCCAGGGCCTGCGCCACTGTGCGGCCGCCACCGCGCTCCCGCTCAGCCACGGTGCTGCCCGCAAGTGGTTTTACAAGGACCCGCAGGGGGAGATCCAAGGTGCCTGTGGGGCGGGGGCGGGAGGCGGGGCAGTGCTCAGGAGGCCGGTCTACCTCGGGGGTCCGAGGCTGGCTTCCAGGCCCCACAGCTTTTTCTGTGCCCTGCTTCCTGTCTCCCTTGGTCCAGGCCCCTTCACGACACAGGAGATGGCCGAGTGGTTCCAGGCTGGCTATTTCTCGATGTCACTGCTCGTGAAGCGGGGCTGTGACGAGGGTTTCCAGCCCCTGGGCGAGGTGATCAAGATGTGGGGCCGTGTGCCCTTTGCCCCAGGGCCATCACCACCCCCACTGCTGGTGAGCATGGGCGGGGGAGTCGGGGGGAGGGGGAACGGGGTCCAGAGCAGGATGCGGTGAAAGCAGGGCCCCCGGGGAGCCTGCTGGGCCCCGCCCCCCACCACTGGCACCTCACGCAGGGGAACATGGATCAGGAGCGGCTGAAGCAGCAGCAGGAGCTGGCGGCAGCGGCCCTCTACCAGCAGCTGCAGCGCCAGCAGTTTCTGCAGCTGGTCAGCAGGTGCGGATGCCTGGGGGACTTGGCAGGGCTGGGGCACTGGCTGGCCGTGGCCCTGCCCTCTCCCACTGCCTGCCGTATCCCTGCAGCCGCCAGCTGCCCCCCTGCGCGCTCCGGGAAAAGGCAGCTGTGGGAGACGCGCCGCCGCCGCAGCTGACAGTGTTCCTGCAGCAGCTCCAGGCTCTCAAAGCCCCCAGGTCCGTGGGCCGGTCGCTGTCTGTCGGCAGCCCCACGTGGCTGTGTTTCGTATGAGACCCAGGGCGTGCTCAGGGGCAGATGGGGAAGATCAGGAGTGGATTCCGGGTCCTGAGAGTCAGTGGTTTGCCCCTCAGAGGCGGGGACCAGAACCTGCTCCCGACGATGAGCCGTTCCTTGTCGGTGCCGGATTCGAGCCCCCTCTGGGACGTACATACCTCAGCCTCATCACAGTCAGGTAGGCGGCCGGCCCTCCCAGCCCGTCCTCCCTCCCCTGGCATCTCGGGTGGGTGGGGTGCCCAGGTCCGTTCCTCATCTCAGGGTGGCTCTGCTCCCCTCGTGTGGCGGTGGAGCCGGACCGCTGGCCATGAGCAGGGGCCGGACTTCCCCCTGAGGCCGCCTTTGCCCCCTGCAGGTGGTGAGGCCAGTCTTTGGGACATACCAATTAACTCTTCGACTCAGGGTCCAATTTTAGAACAACTCCAGCTGCAACATAAAGTGAGTAGGCACCCTGGGGGCTGGAGTCCTTGGGGGTGAAGGGCTGGAGCAGGGCGGGGTCCCGAGTCACAGCTCATGGTCCTGACAGTGTCAGCTCCAGGAGCGCAGAGAAGTGGAGCTCAGGGTGAAGCGGGAGGAGGAGGAGCGGAAGCGGCGGGAGGAGGAGGAGCGGAAGCGGCGGGAGGAGAAGCGGCGGCAGCAGCAGCAGCAGCAGCAGCAGGAGGAGCGGAAGCGGCGGCAGGAGGAGGAGGAGTTGTTCCGGCGCAAGCAGGTGGGGCCCGCGCCGAGCCCCGGGGGCCGGCGCTGCTGGGTGGGCCAGCCGCCCTCACCCGTCTCTGGTGCAGGTGCGGCAGCAGGAGTTGCTGGTGAAGCTGTTGCAGCAGCAGGCGGTGGCCGCCGGCGCCGTGCCCCCTGCGCCCAGCTCCCCGCCGCCGCTCTGGGCCGGCCTGGCCAAGCAAGGACTGTCCATGAAGACGCTGCTAGAGCTGCAGCTGGAGGGCGAGCGACAGCTGCATAAGCAGGCCCCGCCCCGGGAGGCGCCGCGGGCCCAGGCCCCCAACCACCGCGTGGTGAGCAGGCTGACGGGAAGAACCCTGTCCACTCAGCGTCTAGGGAGACGAGGGGGGGGGGGGGAGAGAATGGGATTCCTGGGCCCAGACTTTGCCAACCCCGGCCCTGGTTCCTGTTTTGACTTTGAGGGATCCTCCTCTGTGTAGCCCTCCCCTCGCCCACCCTTTGCCACCCAAACAAGCTTCCTCGCCTAGCTTTCCTGGGTGCCCTTGTTCGAACCACCCTGACTTCCTGCCATCTGTAGCAGCTTGGGGGCCTGGGCACTGCCCCCCTGTCCCAGTGGGTAGCTGAGACTGGGCCGCTGTGGGGCGGGCCCGACAAGAGTGGGGGCGGCAGCAGCGGCCTGGGGCTCTGGGAGGACACCCTCAAGAGCGGTGGCAGCCTGGCCCGCAGCCTAGGCCTGAAGAACAGCCGCAGCAGCCCATCTCTCAGGTAGGTGCCGGGCCTGGAGGGTCAGGGTCGGGCCCAGATGGAAGGATGCAGAACTCCCGCGCCATTTCGTCATCTCTGGTGCTCCTCTCCCTGCTCAGCGACTCGTACAGCCACCTGTCGGGTCGGCCCGTGAGGAAGAAGACGGAGGAGGAGGAGAAGCTGCTGCAGCTGCTGCAGGGAATCCCCAGGCCCCAGGACGGCTTCACCCAGTGGTGCGAGCAGATGCTGCACACGCTGAGCGCCACGGGCAGCCTGGACGGTAGGGCGGGGCCCTGCGGGGCAGGCACGGCCAGCCATCCCGGGCCGGGGCGGGGGCCCTCACAGCTGTCCTGCCCCGCAGTGCCCATGGCTGTAGCGATCCTCAAGGAGGTAGAATCCCCCTACGATGTCCACGATTACATCCGTTCCTGCCTGGGGGACACGCTGGAAGCCAAAGAATTTGCCAAACAATTCCTGGAACGGAGGGCCAAGCAGAAAGCCAGCCAGCAGCGGCAGCAGCAGCAGCAGGTGAGGTTCCGGGGAGCCTCGTGTGGTGCGGGAAGGTGGCCCCGCTGCCCTGCCCCTGAGCCTCCCTCTCCACTGCCTTGTAGGAGGCTTGGCTGAGTAGTGCCTCCCTGCAGACAGCCTTTCAGACCAACCACAGCACCAAACTCGGCCCAGGGGAGGGCAGCAAGGCCAAGAGGCGGGCACTGATGCTGCACTCGGACCCTAGCATCTTGGGTAAGTTTGGGGCTGGGGTGGCTGAAGCGGAGAAGCCGGGGACAGAGCTCCAACCCAGCTTCCTCCCTGGCTTCAGGGTACTCTCTGCACGGATCTTCCGGTGAGATCGAGAGCGTGGATGACTACTGACCAGCCCGTCCCACACCAGCCCCCTGGGCTGTCGGCCAGGGGCAGCAGCAGCAGCAGCTTGGACCCGTGGGTCCCCAGCCTGCAGGCTCCCCACCAGGAGCGTAGAAGGAGGCAGGGGCAGGGTCCCCAGCACTTGTTACAAACTACACGATGCACCTTAACTCACCTACCACGAGGCACTTTACAGATTGGGGGGAAGGGTTTTTTCTTTTCCTTTTTTTTTTTTGGTCAAATTTTAAACAGCATTGAAGAAAACGTTAGAGACATTAAAAACTAAGACGTAGACTCTAAGCACCCTGCCCCGTCTAGGGATAGCAAGGGTGGCCATGGAAGGTCCACGGAGATTTTTTTTTTTTTTAAGAAAAGAAAAATAATGAGAAAAAAAAGGAGACTGAAAGAAAAAAAACACACTGTTATTTTGGGGCAGTGGGAACACAGGCCCTGTGGATCTGTCCTGCCCATCCCCGAGGCTGCACTTACCCTCCCTGCCCCTTGAAAGGTGGGCCATCGGGGTAACTGGAAGCTGGGGGGGGCCAGCAGTTTGCACAGCGAGGCCCCTCAGAGCCCCGCCTGCCGGACCCGCTGTGAACGGCTCCCTTGTTGCTGTGCTGTGGCAGAGGGGTCCAGGGTGGGAGCCAAAGGAGCCCCTTGGCTTTGCTGCTTTGGGGAAAGTTGCACAAAGTTGGTGAGCCGCCTCCACTCCCCAGGCTGCCATCCTGTGCTGGCTGACGGGTAGCTGGGAAAGCCAGGCCAGTGCCAACCTCATCTGGCTGTGGGCCTGCCTCTGGTCCTGGTGAGGGCTCCCCCGCCGCTGCCATTGCGGGGAGGGCCTGGGGGCGAGCGGAAAGCCCCAGCTCCCTGCCTTGCCACATGAATGTATTCTTTGGGCCACAAGCTTCTGCCTCGACCGAACGTGCGTGTGAGGTTGAAGCCGATTCCTCCAGGACTGAGGCACCACTTAAAGACTGAGTCGTTTCTCCTGTGAAGGGGACAAGCGGAAGGGCCTAGAAGGGCGAAGGAGGGGAAGCCTGGGGCTTAGGGTTGCAAGGGGTGGTGGTGAAGGGAGCCCCTCCCACTGCCAGCTGTGTGGCATGTGGACCACCCAGCTCTGCCCCGACCCCCTCCACTGACCAAATGGGAGAGGAGGAAGTGACCCCTCCTCCTCCTTGCCCCCTTGACAAGTTTTTAATGTCAAATGAGGTTGGGGGTCAAGACTAGAAGGGTCTGTTTGTCCTTAGTCAGGAGTCGGCAGCCCTTTCTCTCACTGACTTCTTGTTCCTAATCACCTGCCTGGTTTGGTTTGGTTTCTCTAAGCGTGTCTCCCATCAACCTCATCGCTGAGTGCAGTATTAGGGCGAGATGCTGCCCCTGCCTCCTCTCCATGAATGTATTTATCCCAACAGCCCTGGGGAATGGGGAGTGGCTTCTCCCCGCTTTTTCTTTCCTTGTCCATCCCCAGAGACTTTTTTTTTTTTTGCACCAAAGTGGCAACTGGGTCAGTGTTGGGGGATAAAGCTGGCCTTGGGGGTTGAAGGGCTCCCTCCACCTGCTTCTCCCTGGTATCAACAGTGTTAGTGTCTGTGAGAAGACAATGTTCTCTCTAAAGCAATAAGGGGGTGATGGGCCAGGGGGGAATGTCTTGCTGCTGCTGGACCCCCAGCTCCCCCTTTCCTCTCACCAGTATTTGGTGGCATTAGAAGGGTGGGGGGGGACTACTGTTGTGAGTGAATGTAACCCCCCACCCCTGCAGCAGCCAATGCAGGGGGAGGGGCACGATACTCTTCCTGTCTCTTCCTTCCCCTCAGCTGAAGAGACTTTGAACTTTGGGGGCCCTTGAGCCTGGAGAGGCCTTAACCCTGTGAGGAAGTGTAGGGGGAGCCCTCCTACCCCCATCCCCTTCTGAGAGTGGTCAATGTTTACAAGCCCCTGAGCCCCCAGCCCAGGGACTCAGACACCATTGCCGTCCTCCCCCCCCCCCATCCCAGTCTTCCTGGGCCCTAGCTGCCCTCCAGCTCTTCCTGCGGTTGGAGTTGGTTCAGGGGTCATTCTGTATCCCCTTGTCTGCCTTGTCCCCAATCTCCTGTCCTCTCCCCTATGTGACTTCCCTCTCTTTTACCTGTCCCTGTAAATACTCCCCCCAATAAATCTCAGTGTGTGTTCTCCCTCTGTGCCTCCGCTGCTGTCTTGATTTGAGTAAAGGGACTTGAGGGCAAATGGGATCGTCAGGGTTGTAAACTAAAAGCTACTGGCAGGGGCAGCCTGGCCAGCTGGCATCTCCAGGTAACATGGAGGGCTGGCCCTGACTCTGCAGGGCAGTTCTGCCTGGGGCGGCGGCTCTAGCATGAAAGAAGGTAGGGCTGAGAGGCCCCCCTCTGGCCCCCAACCGTCAGCAGAAAACAAGACACACACAAGGCAGAGACCACGTACAGAGTTGGAATTGGTTCCTTTATGGAAAAACTGAAAATATAATAAAAATTAAAATAAAACCAGTTTTAAAAAAAGCCAGCCCCTGGAGTTCCCACCTCCTGCCTCTGGCCTCCAGAGGGGTGAGGCCCCAACCCCGTGGGCAGCAAAAGGAAGGCTTTCTGCCCCTCCTCTTCCCCCATTCTATCCCCATCTTTATCTCCACAGTGAGGGCCCCGGGAGGAACCAAACCTGGGTGGGGGAGCAGGGACCCAAGGCCCCATGGCCCGCCGGGGAGGGAGGCTTGGTGCACCCAGCCCCAAAACTCCCGGCCTGTAGTGTGGGCATGGGCAGGGCCCCTCCCGGCTTGGGCCCAGCTGGGGTTGGGACTGTTAGTTCCAGATCTTGAGGAAGGAGTCCCAAGAGCCTGTGGCCACAGCCATGCCATCATCAGTGACCCCGAGGCAGCTCACACGGTTGTCGTGGCCAGCGAGGACACCTGTGAGGGAGGGGCGTGTCAGAACAGACCCTGGCCTGGTTTCCCCACCACCACCACCACCACCCAGGCCTCACCTGCACGGTCGCCCTTCATGGCATCCCAGATGTTGCAGTTGAAATCGTCATAGCCAGCGAGCAGCAGCCGGCCACTGCGGGAGAAGGCAACGGAGGTGATGCCGCAGATGATGTTGTCATGAGAATACATGAGGAGCTCCTGATCGGCTCGCAGGTCAAAGAGGCGGCACGTGGCGTCATCGGAGCCAGTGGTGAAGGCGTAGCCGTTGGGGAAGAACTGCAGGACACAGGACCAGAGTGACATGAAGGTACAGAGCCGGCCAGAAACCTGGCAGAGAAAGGGGCCAGCCCAGCTCCGGCCCCAGGACTTACAGCCACGGCATTGATGTCCGATTCGTGGCCAATGAAGGTCTGTCGGCACATTGAGTCCCGCACGTCCCACAGCTTGATGGAGGCATCGCAGGCACCTGACACGAAGGTGCGGCCATCGGGGGCCAGCGACAGGGACATCACGTCCCCACTGTGTCCTGCAAAACCCACTGTCTGCTGGCCTGTCTCGATGTCCCACAGGGCACTGGGGAGGTGATAGGAAGAAGGAAGGAATCAAAGACGGGGACAGATTCCCTGCCCCCTCTGTCAGGTGAACCCAGTCCTGCTAGAAGGGAACCTGGAACCACTAGGTACTCAAGTGTGCTCTTGCCGCAGGTCAAAGAGACTTGGGGAGAAGAGACTCTTCCCAAATCCCTTCATGCCCATCAGGAGGCGGCTAAGCGTTGAGATGGAAGACCCTGGCTTGGCCTGTGTTCAAGGTGTATACCCCGCTGAGGACTGAGGCCAAGGCCCTCCAAGTCAGGAAGTGTGGATGGGCCCAGACACCCCAGCAGGGCCTCACCAGGTGGTATCCCCGGAGCTGGTGATGATCTGGTTGTCATCCAGAAATCGGCAGCACGACAGGTACCCTGAGGAGAGGGGCTGGTCAGACAGGTCTCGACAGGGCAGCCCAGCCTCTGTCCCCACAGCACTGCCCACGCCCTGCCAGACTGCTCTCACCAGTGTGGCCAGGCAGCTCCCGGCTGACCCTGACGTTGCCCTCACGGGTCTTGAGGCTGTAGATGGAGCAGATGTTGTCCAAGCCCCCACAAGCCACAAAGTTCCCTGAGGGTGCATAGGCACAGGTCATGACCCAGGAGGAGCGCAGTGGGATGGCATGAACCTAGAGAAGGGGGTCAGAGCCAGGGTCAGAGCCAGCCAGGGCCCTGCGGCCCAGCCCCACCCTGCCTCCAGGACCACCTCTACCTTGTTGGTGGTGTAGCTGTCCCAGATGATGAGCTTGCCGTCCTGGGAGGCGCTGACCAGCAGCCTGGGTGGGAGGAAGAAGGGTCAGGACATGAAGCCCTGCCTTGAAGCCAGGTTACCCTCCCTGTCCCCCAATCGGAGAGAGGCCTTCTAAGACAACTCCCAGAACAGCCCAGGAGTTCCTGCTGGTATAATCCTTGTTTTTCCCAGAACCAGTGAAGATGTGTGGGGGTCATGGTGTTCCCAAAACTCTGGCAACATGGCCGCCTGGATCTCTCAGGATCGGGGAGGCTGCCCCTCCCCCACTCTGCCTGCTACAAAGCCAGCCCTTGAGCACACAGCCCCTACCCAAACACACACCTTGAGTCTGTCCCCCAGTGCATGGCATAGATTTTGGCCAGGTGCCCACGGAGGGTCCTCCGTGTTCTCATCTGGATCCTCCCCACTGGGTCCAGCCCAGCTGTGATCTGGAGGTGGAAGCAGAAGGCCCCACTAAGCAGTATGCCTCCAACCCTCGCTCCTAACCTAACCCCAGCCGCTGCCCGAGGTCCTCACCTGGGTCAGTGTCGAATCCCCACATGCTTTTCGGGCATCCTGTAAGAGGTGGCACAGTCAGTCAGGAAAGAAGAAAGTGGGAGGGGAAGGAAGAGGAGGAAAGGAGACAGGTGAGTGGAGGGGATGAGGCTTGGCGAAATTAGGGGGCCCTCCCCCAAAACACGCCCTCACACAGCGGCCCACTCCAGGGCACTGGGCAGCGGTGCACACAAATTCCGGCCCGTTCAGCTTCC